ATGGCTGCTCCCAGATGAAATTCGAGTCGAGTTGGCTCGACATCCTTATGCTCCGCTCCTAAGCACGTCTGAGGTAAAATGGGGGAGAGGATCTCGAGGACAAGAGTTGGAGGAGACTCTCCGGGACATGGACGATGGCGCAGCATACGCAGTCCGATTTCGAGCCTTTATGGTGGAGAATGCCGCCAGATTCCGGGAAGAGTCACAGAAATTGAATGCCACGAAAAGTCAGAAGAAACGACCAATGGGTTAGAGCGGCGTCGGCCGCCGAATCATCACCCGGAATTGCTCCAGACTCGAGCTCTTCTTGCCAAACGGCCACAACCAAGGGCCCGCCTTCATTGTCAATGTCTGCTCTTGGTGTATTCGCGCGAACAAGACAGAACGACATGGAAACTAGTGGAGATGGAAGAAACGAAAAGGAAAGTAAGACGGAGGAAGCGAGCAGATACTGTTGACACAATCAGAACGATTGACCAAAGTGATGTTGTATCACCGATACAACGACGACGTTTGTAAACGTTGCCAAGATCTAATGGAGTGTGTTCTTAGCAAAGCCTACTATGGGACAGCCGGAGAGACAGCCAGAGGGAATATTCACTGCATCAGATGGCGAAAACGAGTATGGGGATGATGCAGATGATAACGAGGATGATAATGATCCCCAGGAAACAGATGAGGAAGTTTTTGTCACTTTAGAGCCTCTGGATTTTGACAAATAATCCTTATTTATTGTTGCATACAAATCGTTGCACCTTTTGTACAAAAAGTAGCCAGACGGGCTGAAGCCCTGAAACCTTACTGCGAATTTATTCCTTAGTAATCATCGAGGGCTTGGCACGTCTGGTATAACGAGATAATCACCTGACTTCAGTGTGTTGGGTCACGTGGTTTGTGTTTGCTCGGAGATGTCTATCTCTATCTCTTCACGCTGTATTTTAGATACATCCAATACATCGCTCTTCTCTCTCATACGTTATCTTTGCTCGATTGGAGTATTCTCCACAGAATCAATCACGTAACTAGTTAACTATAGATGTTAATAGTCAATATAGTCACGTAACTGTCACTTTAGGGGAATTCATCCGCCACCTGACAAGCTCCGTGATTCCAGACCATTATACAAAGCATGTAGCGGCTACTTGGAAAGCGCCGATTTGAGTAGACACGGGCAAGCGCCCCACTACTCGCTGCTGGTCGGATCCTGTGATGGATCAGAGGTCCGCAGACCTGGATGCCTTGTGGCCCTGTGGCCCGTTTGCTCTGTAAACACCAGAACAGATAAACGCCTCGCACACCTTAGATAGATTCCTCCTTCATAGCAACAATTCAATGTTTGCCTCACGATTGGAGATTCCCGACAGTGAGACTCTTACAGATCCGTACTATAGTAACAATTAATCCTGCGGAGAAGAGGCTAACTCATGTGCCGAACATGCCGGAAACAGCTTAGCTAGGAGTGTTTACCGAGGAGCGATCAGGGTACTTCACGAGCATGTTGCATTCTGCTCGCAATAACATACCGATAGCAATCCAAACAACACCTTTTTAAGAACACCCACCTCTCGGGATACGCAGTATATGCTCTCGAGTATTATTTCGAACGTCACTCATTTGGCCCACGATCTTAACTGCTCTACTCTATCTGAGCCATGTCACCTCATCCATTGGCCGGACCTTATACCCCGCTGTCGGTAGATGGGACCTTATCACTGTCACAGTTTATGGTCAGATTCAATCCTGACAACGTACCTAACGCTAAAGTCATTCATACCGATACTATTTTGAACAAACACATTACTTATGGAGGACTACGTGAGCAGGCAGCAGCTTGTGCTTGGGGATTACGGAATCTAGGTTTAGGCGCGGGGAAAACGCTCCTCGCGCTGGTTCCAAATTCGACAGACTTCGTGTTGCTTGCGCACTCAACATGGTGGTCAGGCGCATGCTTCTCCCCTGCCAATCCTTCGGCGACTGCTACCGAGATTGCGCATTTCCTGACGCTTGTAAAGCCAGATGTTGTTGCAACAACCCCCCAACAGCTGCCGTCTCTCCGAAAAGGCTTGACTCTGGCTGGCTGTCAAGCTACCATCATCACTCTCATCTCAAGGTCGGCAGGGCTGCCTCTGTTCCCCGACGATATCACCGGACGGACGAAGGACGAAGTTGCGCCGGTCTACGATCTTGCAAGTGATGGGCTCGATGGAAAAACCGCACCAGCAGTCATATGCTTCTCTTCGGGCACCACTGGCAAGGTGAAAGGGGTGGTATTATCCCACTACAACCTCATCTCCAACGTTCTGCAGTTCAGATGCTCCCTTCCTAGTATGGCCAACTCGTCGGCCCGCGAAGTCTTCTTCCCGCCCTACTGCCATATTTACGGTTTATCATGTGTCGTGCTACAGGCCATGTGGCTCGGAGCATTTGTCTGTGGCATTCCTGCATTCGATCTCGAGCTGTTTTGCGAAAAAATGGCGGAGTACAAGGCAAACTGGGTACATGTTGTGCCTCCAGTGGCCATCATGCTGGCAGACTCTGATATCCCTCTTAAATATGATCTCTCCTCTCTTCGAAGGATCGTTATTGCAGCGGCACCAACCAAATACAGTCTACAGATGAGGCTCAAGGACCGCTTCTCTGGATCGGTTTTGGTCCTGCAAGGGTACGGTCTCTCGGAATGTTCGCCTTCTGTGCTCCACCAACACGAATCTGATGAGGCCGATATTGGTACGGTTGGAAAGGTCTTATCCGGTACCTTGGTCAGATTGGTTAACGCCAACACACATGAGGACGTTGCTCCTGGAGAAGACGGAGAGCTTTGGGTACGCGGACCACAAGTCATGTTGGGCTACGTTGGGGATCCCGAAGCTACCGCCAAGTCATTTTCGAGCGGATGGTTAAAAACGGGTGACATCATGAGAGTTGACCAGAAGGGAAATTTCTGGGTTGTTGATCGCTTGAAGGAATTGATCAAATACAAGGGGTTTCAGGTGGCACCGTCCGAACTTGAGGACCTCTTGATCAGCCATCCATACGTGTTGGAAGCAGCCGTCACTTCGATTTATGACGACACACAAGCCACTGAACTGCCACGCGCCTATGTCACTTTGACCAAAGAGGTCATGGCCCGGCATGATCTTAACGTCGAGGAAGCGCTGCAGGAGATCCATCAATGGCTCGATGGGCAGGTCGCTGGTTATAAAAAACTTCGAGGCGGCATCTTTTACATGCGGGAACTTCCAAAGACAGCAAGTGGCAAGATACTGCGAAGATTGTTACGGTCAGCGACGCCTCAAGCCAGCCCGAGTAAGCTATGAGGCTGTACGAGCTAGAGAGCCCCTGCAAAGTACAAATGAGACGATGTACAGAGTGTGAGCGAAAGTACTCCAACAGTTTCTTAGAACCTTTGCATCACAGGATCCTTGTGAGGCCACAGAGATAGGGTGACGCTCCTTTTACATCCCCCCGTGCTCCGTTTATGTTGGAAATCAGAGTTTATTACTTAGTCATCACACAAGATTCCTTACCTTATTTTGTACCTTACGTAATCCTAGTTATATCTACCTTGCAAGGTTTTTGTCGCACGTGATGTGCTAAAATGGTTGGGAGTGAGGTGCTGTTGTTCCAGCAGCGAAGTTGTTGTATTGTTGTGTTGTAGGTATCTGAAAGTTG